ATATATATATATACACACACTTAAATATATTTAACTGTGTGTGTCCAGACAGAGCTGGAGAGAGCCAAAACTCAGCTCAAATCCATGTTGATGATGAACCTGGAGTCACGTCCGGTTATTTTCGAAGATGTCGGTCGGCAGGTTCTCTCCACGGGGAAGAGGAAGCTTCCACATGAACTGTGTAATTTGATAAGTAAGTGTTGCACAAAATTAGAATTACTGTGCGTGGATTCACCCACTGGTGTATGAAAATATAGAATGACCTTAGAATAATAATGAATGATGCCTTTAAACCAAAAACATACACTTGTCTATGTATACATATGTACATATGTTACATGTATATAAATATCTATACATAAATATGTATACATATACAGTATATGTATATGCAAACATATTTTTTTATATATATAATTATACATATATACATATATTTAAATATATGTATTAGTGATGGGAAGACCGACTCTTTTTATTGATTCCAATCTTTGACTCTTGAACAGTAAAATGAACGAGTTCATTCGTTTTACAGCAGGTGGCGCTTTAGCCCTATTATGGGTCGTTGTAAGGAAGGCTGCGGTTCTCCGACACTAAATACTGAAGGCAACATGATTTGCTTCCGCTTACAAAGTCTACAAAGTACACAATATACCATAAGTAATTAAAACCATGTGAAAAACTAAGAAATAAAAACACACCACAATGTGAAGATGAATGAGAGCAAAAAAGACCCGAGCTCCCTGTCACGTGACAAATGAAACGAATCTGCGAGAATGAGGCGAAAGATTAGTTCACAGAGAATGATTCGTTCATAGTGATTAGTTCACAGAGAAAGATTAGTTCACAGCGAAAGATTAGCTCATGGCGAAAGATTAGTTCACGGCGAAAGATTAGTTCACAGCAAAAGATTAGTTCACGGTGAAAGATTAGTTCACAGAGAATGATTCGTTTGTAATGAAAGATTAGTTCGCAGTGAAAGATTAGTTCATAGAGAGTGATTCGTTTGCAATGATAGATTAGTTCGCAGTGAGTGATTAGTTCGCAGAGTGTGATTAGTGAGTGATTCGTGAGTTCAATATGAACAAATATTTAATATGACTTGGTAGTCACGAGTCACGAATCTTTCATATGACTCTGGAGTCACAAGTCATATGAAAGATTCATTCATTTTGAACGAATCACTCGCGAACGACATCACTAATATGTATGTATATGTACTGTATGTGTGTGTAGCACATGTATACATACACATATATTATTTAATATAGTATAATTTAATAGTTAAGTACTTTATGCTAAGTACCAGTACTTCTCAAATAGTGGGGCGGGCTCCCATGGTGGAGGGGAGTTGTGGGGAGGGGCACGTGGGGGCCTTCCAATGTAATGTGCCGGACTAAGTGTACCACTGCTGTAATGCTTGAATGATAATGATGGAAAATAATTGAGTTTTGACGAATCATTTTCAGACAACGTGACATCCAACGACATTAAGCGAGTGACTACGAAGATGCTGCGGAGTAAACCCGCAGTCGCTGCTCTGGGAGACCTGAAGGAGCTGCCGTCTTTCGAACACATCCAGGCCGCCCTGTCCAGCAAAGACGGACGCCTGCCTCGCACGTACCGTCTGTTTCGGTAGAGCCTCCCTACCGAGAAGCCACTGAGCTTTTATGAACTGACAAACCTCTCCGAACAGAAAGTGGAGCCACAGCCGAGTCGAGGCTTGAAGGTCATCCCCCGGGAAAAAAAGCTACATTTCACACAGCAGCTCGAGTATACAGTGTTTATTTGTTCCTGGTGGGTGGAGTCTTACGTTGGGGTGTACTGATGATGGTTTTATAAAAAGACAGTTTAAACCTCCAAGCTCACATTTGAATATTCATTTACCTTAAAAACTGAATTATTCTTTTTTTTATTCCCTTGCTTTTTTATTTTTTTAACACATTGGAATTTAAACAAGGTGAAAGAGGGAAGTGCAGTTGTAATGCAGTCGACTGCAGGTTTTCTCTTTGTCCCTGTCAAATATATTGAAAAAAAGTAAGAATTGTAATATTTATCCCAAAGCACTTCATAATCTGTGGACAAACATTATGGAGCACTGGTAAAGAAATCAGTGAGCCCTTTTACAAATGTCGTGTTGACCGAAAACTCTATCAACGATTTCTCAAATGTTTTGGAAAGATCTAAAGCCTTTTTCTGTCATTGTGAGTGTGACTGTAAATTTCAATAAACACAGTCTTAAAATGTAAACCCACTGACCATTAAATGTAATTATACTTTTAAACCAAAACTAAGCCTGTCAAAATCAATGCCTTCAGTGCGGTTAATCAATTCATATGTGGTTATTTACACACGCTGCTGGAAAGACTTTTTTTTACTAAAGCACCTTAAAGCGTTAAATACCAGCCCAATGGAGTACAGGGCAGCAAGTAAATCTACCACTGGCAAAATGGTCTAATGGCTTAATGGATTGGTCAAAATCTACCTGCAGAAAAAATATTTTTGTCATTTAGGACAAAAAAATATAGGAATGTTGTTTCATCTTGATTAATCAGGAATAATCGTGATTAATCCACAGATATCCTGTCACTATCTAGATTAAGAATTGTAATCATTAACAAACAAACAACACGGTCGTGAAATGCTGTGTTTTTAAAATGTTTATTAATGGCTGTGAGCTCACATGTAAACATAAAAAAAATGAAAATGTTGTGAAGAAATGAAACCCTGACCTACAGGCACTTCATGTGGAGCGCAGTGCTCTCATGCTGGAAATGCAGGTTCATTAATGTCAACATACAGTACGTTACACATATACAGTATATGTGAGGATACGCAGCAGGGAGAACGAGCGGTAAGGCAAGAAGTGACGATCAGCTGCGGAGGAGTCGTACTTTGTCCTGATGAGTTTTAGTGAGTAACAGTACCATCTAACGTCCAACTTTACAGGGAATGAGTTTAGCAACCTGTCATCAAGGAGATCACGTAGTCGTTCTTACGAACATTTTTGTAAGGCAGTTGTTCTCAAACTATGGTATGCGTGCCATATGTGGTACACGGTCTCTATCTTGTGAGCACTGATTGGTAAAACAGTGACGGTATAATTAGTGTTAAGCTAAAAAAAAAAAAAAAAGTGCAGTCGTGGCTTCAAACTGGAACTCTCAAAAAGAGACTTGGGAAATGGGTTAAAGAAATGATCAGTGCTACAAACAGGCCTGCCGAGACTGGAGTGGACACAAGAGAATTAGATGTAATGTCCAGTTGAAGTGCGACTTCATAAACAGACCAATAGTAGTACGCAGTGTGAAAAGTCCAAGAACCACTGCCATGATGAATTCATAACTGCAGCATCCTTCTATATCCAGACATAAACCAATATGTTTGAAATACTAATAAGTTTCAAAGCGTATTTAGGAACAATAGGATTCTTCTCATGGTAAAAAGGTCTGTCATTAATGGAGAAAATTAAAAAGAAATTGAACACCACCGAAGGGTCGTGTGACTGTATGAAAGGTGATCAGAACCCCTGGAAACTATCTGGACATGTTTTCCTTTTTATGTCTACGAACTGCTGTACTGGACGTTTCATCTCTCTGTTTAATAATCACCAAAAATGTACGCCTGAATCTCTAATGCTGATTTATGTAAAAAATATATCACACAAGAGTTAAAGGTAACACTGTAACCTGGGATGCTTTAAATATTAATAAGAAAATAAGAAAACATACACTCAGTCTGCAGGGTTACATTAGTTTACATTGCACCATGTGACCCTCACCCCTTACTTTGACTCATGTGAGTTGACCTTAAGGTCCCTGCCCTTAAGTGTGGTCAGATAATAATACCTGCTCCAGCAGGACACAGACACATACAGTTTGTGAGAATGGCCATTAGAGGGCGGACTTAGCCCAGTTTGTAAGGAGATGAGACTCACTGTTTTTGGATTTAGATTTGGACCCCTTTCCACCTTCTTGTTCCTGGAACAGTCCAGTTTAGTCTAGTCTGGTCCTTCGTGGACCAGTGGGTCACTAAGAGATGGAGCAGATGCTGCTGTTACTTTGGTTCTTCATGGCTTCTCTTCTTTTCAGCTCTCTGGTGATCCTCCTCCTGATGCCCTCCAGATACAAGGCTCTGTCAAACTGCCCTGCTCCTAGAGGAATACTGACACAAAACAGACAAGACAGTAGAGTAAGACAGTAATACTTGAATGATAGTTAGTACGTTGTATTTAGTAAACAGACAGAGGTTCTGTCGTTAAACATACTGCTGTCATTTTCCTTAAGTGACAAAAGTTGTTGGTTCTAAAACAATACACACCCTCGATTCAAAGTACGCCTGCAGTGATACAGCATTGATACTTACTTGTCTCTACCTGGCCGTAATTTAACATGGAAAACACCGATGACGGGTCGATGGTCTGAGGTCTTGATGCTGGAGCAGCTGGTGTATTTGACCACTTGTATATCATCAGCCTGTCTATTTCTGAACAGGATCCTGTCCTGTGGACATAGACAGAGACACCACATCAGCAGACATACATACGTCTACATATTGGTTGGTGTTTCAAGCTGTTTCTTACATGCAGCACAGGCGCCCCCTGCTGGGCCTAGGCATCCCTTTAAATCCCCTCTAGTCTCAGTCAGGTTCTTTAGGTTGAACTCGTATGTTAGTAAAGTCAATATCTCTCAGGTGACCGTCTCCATGCGCAACTTTGAATTTGTCGACTAACTACGTTATTACTAATATTTAATTTGGGTCAGTCTTTCATCAGACCTTCTTTTTATAAAATACGAAGTAATGTGGGGCTACATTATGAAGGGGAAATTTGAAAGATGGTAAAATGGCAGGGACGAAGTTCAATCAGTCATTTTCCATGCCGATTACGTCATGGAAAATGGAGGAACAAATCAGACGAAGGGATGAAGCCAGAAGCGGGAACACTGGTCCACTCATGAAATAGCGTCAGACAAACATGTTTGGTAGGAAAGATATATGGAGCTATCTTTGCTATTAACGACAACGAAAACAAGTCACACTGCTAACCATAAGGGACGACAATTCTAGAAATTTACAGGACAAATTTGAATCGTCGTGCGCAGACACGTCATCCTAAGATGAACGCAATGGTAAGCATACGGAAACGTGGGAGTTAATATGGGAGCTAATATGGCTAAGGTATGAAGTCAAATTCCACATGACATTCTCTCAAGATTTTAATACAAAATTGAATAATATTATATCATAAATAGTGCGCTGTAGTATATATTAGTATAATATATATAGTATAATAACTAAAAAAGAATTTTAGAATGTTATGAAAAGCCACCCAATTCTATTAACAGTTTAGTAAATTGTGTAAACATCGAAATATTACGTATTGCATTTCAATCGACTAAATCTATTCAAATTTACTCACCTAAAATATTTTGATATTTTCTTGACTTAAATTACAATTGAACTTTTTTATTAAATAAACTGGGACTAAGGATACATTAAAAATGGCTGTCATCATTAACACCAAATTAACTATTTTATTTAACGTCTTACTGTGTACGAGGGCGTCCTCTGTTTGGAGGTTGTGTCATATATGTCACAACCGATGTCAAACTTGTAGGTGGGGAAGAAGTGTATGGATGCCTCCTGGAAGCCTTTGAAGATTGAGCCTAAAATTGTAATTTTTTTTAATAAAACAAAAAAATAAATGAAACGTTCTTTTGCTTATAGATCTTTTTTTCACTCAAAGTTTGAACAACAAGATCTTACCATCCTTAAGCTCAATAGAAAGCTGATCGTGTTCCAACAGGACGCTCATGTCTCCTCCCTCTGTGCGTTTCATCATGGCGTCCACATCACTTCGCTCCTTACTCAGACGAAAGTTAAAGTCACCAAACCAGAATACTTGGTCGAATCTTGTGGTGACATCGGCTACAATCAAAATCGGTCAAAGATTTACAGTATCAGCATCGCTGACTCGAACATATATTTATTACTAATACCTAAAAAGATCATTTTTATGTCTTCAAATATTTCAAATAAGGTCATTCAAAATACAGTTCAAGGTACTGTAGAAGGTATACAGATCAACTCTACACAGATGCCTAAAAATTCACAATTTAAGAAAATTCTGGCAGTAAAAACAAACTTGTTCTTACACGGTGTTGATCGGTACGGATTTGTATCTGGGAGACTTTTTGGAAGAGCCAGAGCCTCAATGATTTTGTTGTAATCTAGGATTCTCTCATAGACTTTAGCATCTCCAGCTGTGGACAGAACAGAAAAAATAAGAATATTTAACACAAGTATTTAGAAATGTGCTGTTCCTATTGTTATTTTTCATATAATGTTTTATTTCCATTATTCCTTTTCTTTACCCACAGGTAAAATGGGATGTAATAAAGAGGAAGGAAGTTCCAAAGAAGGTAAACGTGACTCCAACAGCTCCTTTGGTTTTGATTTGGGAGATAATCCTGGTTGTTACCGTAGCGTGCTCCACTTCTGTGTGAGACAGAAAAAAAAGAGACAGCTTGGGAAACATAGTAATGTTTAATATCTGTGTTAGGACTAATTAATCTAAATGAAGGTTAAAACTTAAGTACTTTTAGTGTTATAGCTAACGGTCTGAATGTTTTAAAACACTTTAAAAATCACTGATATCGTAATCTCTTTTACTGACCAGAGCAGAACCAGATGAGGTCTCTCCGCACAAACACAGTGAGATAAAGAACACCATGTGATGATCCGTACAGCATGACATAATAAGGCCCCAGTGTTTCCTGGAGACGGGTCTCCCATTCTCTTCTACACACACACACACACACACACACACACACAGAAATGTAGAGTGTGAGACAGTTTTAAAGTATTTTTAAAGTACATTTAAAGTATTCGGTAATAAATTATAATTTATAAAGGACACTGTACCTGTCAGGACAGCCCTCCTGAACCCCAATAATATAAAAGTCTTGTGCAGTATCAGAGTCTGTAGGAAGGAGGAGATCATCCAGGTTGACTGGCAGCCCCTGTAAACAGAAACTTAAATTTAGTCTCACAGGTTGCCTCGATGTTACATGTGAATTTCTTAAATGTCAAAAATGTCTTATACTTTTTCTCCTTGCATGTTCCATGTTACGATGTAAATGCTCAGTTTCCTGTCTGGAAAGTAGCGGTCCAGTTCCTCAGCTCCTAGTAGAGCGCCACTTCCCATGAGGCTACCCTCTAAAAAACTCCTGGAACCCGAGATGGAAATGAAGCAGGTATTTACAAGTTGATTAGAAAGTCGATGATTGTCAGAGGACTCAATGTAGCCTATGGGCTGTACAATGTCCAGGTCTGGTATTATACCATACTACAAAATTTGCACTAATTAATAATTATTAAAATAGACTGATTGTCTTTGATTTTATTTCATAATCATGACTTTTCTAGCCCACATTTCAGCTCTAGTATCATAGTGGTGTTGTTAGACCTCTCATCTGACTCATCTGACTTGTTATTCTACCTTCAATAAGTCATGATCTTATATTTTTATAAAGAAGAATATATTGTCACTTTGTTGGTGTAGCTTCACCTGAAAGCTCGTGATGTTCAGATCAGTTCCAAATTCAGTAAAAACCCAAATCCAAAATCCAAAACAGCAAACACAGAGGAAAATAATAACATTAATAATAATAATAGTTACTATTATTATATTGACCACTGTTCTAATACAGAAGCAATCTTTTAGTGGACAAAAGTTGTTTTCTTTTTACTCACAATGGTTGTACGCAATCCTGATTATCTGCATTTGCAACAAAATATCTGCAAACAATGACTAAAAATAGATCTAAATCAGGTTATTTTTTATTGCCTTGACATCTCATTTAATATTATAGTACTTCACACCTTGCCTGTATAATCCCCAGGACCATTATCAATAATCAATGCTTACTGTACCTGTTCCGAACATCCTGAGGTCTGATGGGGCTGAGCACACTGTAGGTAGATCTCAGAGAGTTGACGGAGGCGTTATCAGAGCCCATGTTCTCCAGAAGCCGGCTGTCACTCAGATTCCGGTGGAGTCTTTCCCCAAGCTTCTCTCTGGCCAACACGGCATAATCCAAACAATCCCTGTCAATCCTTTTAGCAGCCTTTATAGTAGCTGACACAAAGCTTTTCTCCAAGGCAGGCAGTGGCACCGAAGCCCGCACGGGAGACAGACACAACTTGGAGATCCTCATCCCGTGCTCTGTAAGGTCACTTTGCTGACTGCGGGGCCTGCGTCCCACCTCAGACAGGCTGCTTCCCCTGTTCCTGAAAGCTGACTGTCTTGTTGACGCAGCAGAGAGGGGTCTTACACTGGAGTCCTGATTTGAAATGGTAGCAGTAGCGCTGACAACAGCCCCCAGTGCAGATACCATCATCTCTTCTTTAAGAGAGTCTGTAGAAGAGCCGGTATCGGCTCGGTCACTCAGGCTTTCCTGGCTATTTCTCAGCCTGCGGTTTCGCACGGTCTCCTCCAGTGAGCTACTCCGACTGGACTTAGACAGCCGGGGTAGTAAGGGTGGGAGGGGTTTATATACAGTAGCATCTGTCCCATTTGTCAAAGTTTTTTGTTGGGCAACATAGTGTTCTTTGCCAGGTTTTCCATCTACTAAGGAGGTCTTGAGTGGCCTGCTGTCTTTGACAACTGAATCCAGATGGAGGCTGCCATCCTCCCCATTTGCAGTCATCGTCTTGTCATGTCTGTGACCGACTCTTATCAGGTGGATGAAGATCTCTCATTGCAGCAAACACTTAAACACATAATGCATAGATATTTGAGAAAGATTAGAGACAGAATGATGACCGGAAGTAAAGTAGAGTCAGTAAAGTGTGATACTTTAATAGAGTGCTAGAGAAATCAGTTACCCTTAATACAATTGCTAACATTAACGTTAAAGCTAGTTGCAGAATTAAAACGAATTAAAACGTATCTTAATATTTAGAACAAAATAACAACTCCGGCTAACCAGTGCTAACTTTAGCAGACTAAAATCTCAGTTTCTCAATCGCACTCGTTAAATAACACGTGGTTTACAATGAGTTAGCCTTGTAGTGTCACATATCGAATGAACACACAAAGTGAATTCAACATGGAAAGGTATTGTTTACCGCTATCAAATGAATTCCAAGTATAACGCAAAGGATCATTTAGCTGAATCCTAGCAGTATGGAGGCTAACGGAGCTAAAGGCCGAAGTGGACATTAGCGCAGTTCATATAAATAACGGACATCTCTTAAAATATTCGTCGTACGCATTAAATGTAATAGTATCACAACGTAATCGAATTACCTCTTGTTCGTCGCTGTTTGTTATTAGGGAGACTAACTTAACCAATGTAATCGCGTCCCTCACTTCCTTAGCAACGTTTGACAACAGGGATTCTGTATCCAAGACTAGAGTGGGTCTCAATGACTCTGAACATTAGGACTAGTGGCGCCTCCAGGTGTTCGAAGGCAGTATTGCAAGCCAGAACATTTTGAATTTAGGAATCAGCAAATGCACCGTCTTTTAATTGTTGACGTCCTACTCGTTCTTCTTTGTTTCCATGTATGAGCTGGTCATCCGCATAATAATCCCCACTCTTACACTGTCCAAATAACTGAATTTTTAAAATTTGTAAATGTATTATCCACCACTTCCTGGCCACAGTTAGTATCATGCTTCCTTGTCTCTGCCTCCTCCAGCCTATCTGCCTCCTCCAGCCTATCTCACCCCTCTTAATTTCTATTATTTTAAATGATACAGAATTATGCTAGAATTGTATCAATATGGTTTTTTATTTCTTCAGGGATACAAGATATTCAATTTTGTTTTATTTAAAATACAAAAAATGTAATGGATTTTACTCATTATACAACCTTAAAAAAACATTATAATGTGTAAATTGTATGGGTCATATATTGTCTACATACGGGTAGTGTGGCATGAGACCCACAGCACACTAATTTAATGTCTGAATTATACTTTACAGACCTATAGGTACAGACCTATAAACATGTCTTTCAATTATTCTGTTTTTTCCACTACTTTTATGGCAGAAAAACTAGAACAGCTATTGCTGACAAAACAGAATATGTCGGGATAACATAACAATACGTGACTGGTAATTGTTTAACCTTACGATGGCCTCTCCCACATGATGCGCCAGAAAATTGTCCCTTAGAAACTTTGACGCTGCATTCTGGCCAGTTCCATGTCACGGCTGCTGGCTCAGGGGCTTTTGGACAAAGGTCTATTTAGCAGAGCAGGTATAAATGGAAGGGTCAAACCAAACAGGGGTACAGTTTGTCACAAGAGCAAAGAACAGCAAGCAGCTCCAGCAGCTCCAGCAGAAGCCCTACCATCCAGCAAAATGACCACCAGTGGAATGAACATGATGAGCAAGGTGAGATTTAGTTCTTGTTACGATGACTGCTCACAATAATGAAAATGACAAAAGAGGCAAATTTGTTTGGATTTTTCTCCCATTGTAAAACAAAAACAAAAACAAAACAAAAACAACTCACATTTCAATCACAGCTCTCATATTCACATGTCCTTCACAGATCATCTTCTACGAAGACAGGAACTTCCAGGGGCGTTCCTATGAGTGCATGAGCGACTGCCCTGACATGTCCTCCTACCTGAACAGGTGCCACTCCTGCAGGGTGGAGAGAGGCTGCTTCGTGGTCTACGACCGCACCAACTACATGGGCAACCAGTACTTCATGAGGAGGGGAGAGTACGCTGACTACATGAGCATGATGGGCATGAGTGACTGCATCAGGTCCTGCCGTATGATCCCCATGGTAAGACCCGACACTTGGACAGATGTGTGCACTTCTGTTGCAGTTGGATTTCAACTCATTTCAAAGCTAGGAAATGTAACACACCTTTATCTCCTGCCCCACAGTACAGAGGAAACTACAGAATGAGGATCTACGAGAGGGAGAACTTTGGAGGCCAGATGACTGAGCTGATGGACGACTGTGACAACATCATGGACCGTTTCCGCATGTCCAACTGCATGTCCTGCAACGTGATGGACGGACACTGGCTGATGTACGAGCAGCCCCACTACAGAGGCAGGATGATGTACTTCAGGCCTGGAGAGTACAGGAACTTCATGAACTACGGCATGAGCGGCATGAGGTTCATGAGCATGAGGCGCATCACTGACTCCTGCTACTAGACTCTTTGCACTAAATAAAACTGTCACAACTTGATCCTGAGCATCACTGGTCCTTTATTTTACCTGTGTTTTTATAGCAACACTCTTTAGATTTCTTCCTTTTTTTAACTAAATCTATTACCTTAAGTTTAGTCCACCGTTATATAACTAGTAATATAAATAAATTAAAGACCACTCATTGTTTTCTATTGGCCTTAACTAGAAAATGTTAATATAATAAAATTGACATATAGAAGAGAATATTTTGTTATTCAGAACGAAATTTCATTGCAACGGCCCTAAAATAATAAAAGTACATTCTGTGAAATTAATAAATACGAAGAACAACAATTACCAGCATCAATAAATATTTTACAAAATTGAAATATATATATATATAT